TGAAAATAAAGAGAGCACTGGAGGAATAATTGTGGATGAAGGTCTTGCAAAAGAAAAAGTAAGTGTCGCAATGTTACACATAGAGAAGGATGAAAGGCGTGCTCAGATGAAGGTCTATCTGTCTCCGACCCATCGAGCTGTTGACCACATTGATTTTCTTTTTTTCCCCTCTGATTTTGCCACTTAAAGTGGAGAGAGGCCTGCATTTGTCCCTGGCTCTCGAAGCCTTTCACTGAAGCAAATCCTCTTCAGGATGTACAAGTGATTATGGGTAATTACGTGTGGAGAATGGACACTCAAGGAGAGCCGAGTGTCTAGAGCCTGTCAGTCAAAATGCATGAGATGAAACCAAAACAAGGGCCTTTTTTGAAACGACTTACATTGTGGAGAGGTGATCATTTGTTATTTCCTCTTTGAGGTAAACAGATTCAGACACTGAAGACTGTTCTGTTTAGTACAGCACTGAACATATAGAGGCCTCAAACAATTATAGCTTTTTACATTTGAAACATAAACCTGAAAATGGCTAAATGTAGCCCATTTTACTTCTGTAATGCAACACTGCTGTTTTTTTTCCCCAGATGTGTGTTTCAAAAACAATATTTCAGTATAATTACTTAAATTATAGTAATGTTAGCAATAAACTGCATGCCTTTGGTGCAAATTAGTTTTAGCCTAATCCCAAAACAGAAACCGCACTGAACAGAATACAGACCAAAGCCATTAAATATAAAAAGGCTTCAGTAAGCTCTCCTGTGATACGAGGCCTCTGGGATCATCGATCTGCTGTAAAATCTTTCATGGAGGAGTTGGAGAGACTGTATTTTGTATCCTAAAGGCTTTGACCTTTGCAGGTCTAACGCCACACAACGTTTTGCATATACTGGCATAGTTTTGGTCTGTTTAACAGAACAGTTGGTAGTACATTATTAACTTCTCATTGCCTTTTTTCTTATGAAAAATGTTCTCCGATGAGCATAATTGGATTTCACGCCAGTCTGGATTGGAGAAATCCTTCTAAAACATGAATAATTTCATTATCAGCCGAGGCATGAAGTTATTATAGATCGACCAGCAAATCGCTGCACGTCGTTTGAAAGTCATGCACATTTCTAATTTGAAATGTAATTCTTCATGTTGACCTCAGTGACATACATCCTTATGAAGTCCTTTGTATCCGATAATGATCTCAAATGTTAATCATTTAGTTATATTCCTGCTTTAACAGATTGCTGTACTACATGATGTGAATGTGACACGAAGGATGGGTCAGGGGCTTTTGTGTGTATGTGTATTTAGGCATATATATATATATATATATATATATATATATATGGAAACAGCATGGCCTGAGAAATACCTCTTTTGCATTTTTTATCATCCTCCTGGCTGCCTCTTTGCAACTATAAATGCACTCTCCATAACTCGGCTGGAAGTAGGCGACGGCACGTGTTACTCCACGGAAAGACCCTGCAGTAAACGCTGGCCAGCCCATCTCTAAAACTGGAGGCTCAATATCAGACACTTCGGGGAAATAAGTGACAGATGAGCAGTCCAGTGTGCCAGACTGGTCCAAATGAGAATCGTCTCCAATCAGAGAGAGTGATTTAGGCACTACAGCAGCGCGGGAAATCCGCCTGATCTCGTCGTCGGAGAGAAAGTTCGGGATTCTCTCTTTCTGCAGGAATCCCATGAAGGATTGAACTCCGCCAGCGACCAGCTCCTCCAGAGCGAGTCTGTGCCTCTCATTGTAAAGTTCTTTAAGGTTTAGATCCTGGCCTGTCCTCGGTGTCCGCCAGCCCGGCGAATCTTCAAGACACTGGGAAAGAGCCATAACCGAAAGCTTATTAATCACACTAACGTTTCCTAAGATTAATGTTACACTCTGACACCTGTATCCTAAACTTTCAAAGGTCTCGTCCCTCCGCCAGGCGGCCATTGGTCGGTAAGTTGTTGCCAGTCAAGTTGTTGCGTCACGTGCCCGCCAAGTAAGAACGCCATTGGACAATCTGCCCTGCGCCTATTGGCCAAGAGTTTGAATTCGGAGGCAAACAAAGGCGGCGTGTGTGAATCTCCTCTGCTCTGCAGTAGCCCCTCACTGCGGAACACAAGATCCAGGGGGCGTGGTTGGATCTACATCTAGAGGGTGGAGATTGGTAAGTTAAGGGGTGGAGATGGGTGGGGTTAGGGATGAGGGGGTGGAGATGGGTGGGTTTAGGGATCAGGGGGTGGAGACGGGTAGGTTTAGGTATATGTAAGGTGGGAGGAGCCCCCTGGATCTTGTGTTCTGCAGTGAGGACCATCTCCTGCTCTGTGTTGTTGAATGTGAAATATTCACGATGGTATTGTGAAAATAAATGGCCTCATAAAATACAGGTAATAATAAGCCATATAAATAATAATATAAAATCAGTTGAGATTATGGCAGCATGTCTAAGCAGCACTCCTCCAAAACAACTATTCTTGCTGAATTAACTCGTAGATTGATAACCGAGATATTCCGAAGTGTCATTCATTGCTGCATATATAGCCTATTTATAACAATATTAATGCTATTAGAACAAATGTACTACTCTTAAAGGATAATTTGTAATAGTATAAAGCTACAATGTAAAAACACTAGCTCTATTCTTCTCTGCTGTAATCAAAGAATCCATCATATACTTTATATGTATCTTTATGTACAGGCACAAACTTTAAAGACTATTAGCATTAACATTAACATTTCTACTATTATTGCATGAAACAAAAAAATACAGTGTGCTGAACACAATACACACAAAAAAAGGGGTTTAAGATTTTACCATTTGGGGTACAACAGCTTGTCCCTGGAGCAGTACCCTTAAAAGGACATATTTGCAAAATCCTCAAAACTAAAAATGTATTGGTGATTTAAAAAATCTATTGTTTTTGCCTGTGCATGTTCATTCATGTCTTTTAATTATTTTTTTTAATTGAGTCCCGATGTCCTCTACCGAGGACATAGCATAACTTATGAACGAAATATCATTTTTTACATTTTTTTTTAATGCTCTAAACAATGTAAAGACATGACAATTTTTCCTAAAAATCTTTTCTCGGGTCTTAAGAGGTTAGAGTAGTAATACGTACCCTTAAGGTACTAATATGTACCTATTAGGGGTAAAAAAGGTACAAATATGTCCTTTTAAGGGTACTGCTCCAGGGACAAGCTGTTGTACCCCAAAAGGTACAATTCTGGCCCCTTATTTTTCTGTGTGTAGAATCATGTTGTCACACTATTTCGGGTAAGCTGTCAGCCAGCAAAATTTAAACAGCAAAACAATTCTGAAACAAAATAATTAATATAAGAGCAATAATGTAAAAGATAACAAAAACATTCGAACAAATATCTGAAATTCTCAGCCTTTCAATTATATAGTTCAGTTCATTGACCATGTCTTGATTATATGGTATTGTGATTATTCAGTCCCTACAGCAAAAAAATATGATAATGGCATTATAGTGGACAAAATTCATTAAAAAAAATATTCTACTTAAAGGCTTTTTGAACTAGGAGTTTCAAAACAACAAATAAAATCACTGCAAGAGAATACACACTTTTATTGGACTTTTGACTCAAAACCTTATTACTGAAATATAATCACTGTGACAACTAACCTTACTTTCCTCTATATAATATTTATAAAGCTAAGCTATATTCATCATGCATTTACACCAGAAAATGAAATATTCGTGCAGAGGTCTTAATGAAGGAAAAGCCCAAACCGCATGGCAACCGTCTCATAATGGACAGTAGGTGTTTTCGGGCTTTATCCAATCAGATTCATCTGTGCCTGTACTGTCAAAAAAAGCTGCATGTCTGAAGGTGTAATTGCCACTGTGGCTTGAGGGGGGAGCCCCTGGATAGCAGGTCTTCCACCACATACTAAGAAAAGAAAAGTAAAGACTTTGAAACATTATACATATTTTATGTGTGCACATACAAGGGCTGAGTGTCACACAACCTGTTGATAATAGACAGGCCGGTGTTTGTTGCACTCTGGTTGACTGGTTGTTAGTTCAGAGAGCACTCTCAGACTTACTTTCACCTTATATGACCCTCTCAAAAAGAAGTAGTAATCACTGTTTCTGAAACTGTTAATAGTTCAAATGCAGAACCATTTGCATACAGCTGTGCATATTAAGCATCATTAGTAATAAACTGTATAAATATTTCTGGTGATTATTACCCGAAGATAACAACAGCAATAATAACTGGTAATTGTGGCAAAATAGTCTCTCTACCCTATTCTCTAATAATAATAATAATAATAATAATAATAATAATAGGTTAACATTACTTCTGATAAAATATCTGTATTTAATTGTATGTTGCACAACATCAACATCATCCATTCAATTCTATTCCATTGATAATTCCAATAATAATTGCATTCTGTTGCATGTTGCATATCTATTTCCCCTGGCCATGGTTGTGTAGCAATGGAGATCATATTCTGTTCTATTTTATTCCAGCATTAATATGTACAGCATGCTGCACAACAATTTTCAATTTGCCATAGAGTTTGTACTCTGTTCTATTCTAATAATGTTTATTCTGTTGCATGTTGCACATTAATTTTCCCCACACATGGCTGTGTAATAATAATATGAATTGCATGTTGCGCAACAATTTCCAGTTTGGTCGTGTGGCTATAGACTAGAGAATCTGTTTTATTTTATTTTATTCGATTGTAATATTGCACGAAGTATTTCATACTCCTATTCGTGCGGATGTTCCAAACGTGTTTGTAGTATATGTAGTAGGCACATGCTCACGATCAGTATAGTAGCTTGTTTTCCCCCCTCGTTCTTATACGACCTACTGACCGAAAGCGCTGCTCCATATTTCTGGCTATATTAGACATTTGCGCATGAGTCACTCCCTTCAGTGTGTCTGCTCAGCCCGTCCTAGAACAGAGAGGGGTAGGATCAGGATTTTGGGTTTGGGTGACGCGTTTTAATCACGTGCCCTTATTTGAGAGAGCCTGGCGTACACTTCTTTCCCTTCTCGCCACTCCAGCTGCGCCCATGTCAGCCGGGCACATAATCAGTGTGCCATAAAGCAGTAGATGCTCCTTATCGCGGTGACCCGACGGGTTCACGTTACTTCACAGGGTTCATCTGAGGAGAGGTCTCGGCCCCTCCTGTTCCCCCGAGACCCGGAGCGGAGCGAAACCTAAATGTTATTCATTTCTGTATCAATAACGGAGTTCCATTCGCAGTCACCAGAGCCGACGAAAAGGTAGGGAACTTTGACTTTTCAAAGAAGCGAAAGCGATTTATTTAGGTGACGCGAACAGTCTTCAAAAGTAGTTCTAGTAGAGAGAAGCGTGCCTTGTTATTCTACTCATATGCGGCGCGTGAAGTCGCCTCTATGTATAAAATGGCGACAGTAGATGGGAGTGCTTAGTTAAAAAATTTGGTAATAGCTAAAATATTGCGCCGCGCTACACACTCAAACTCCCGAGAAACGTCTAGCCGGATGGAGGTTACTAGTGCCTCAATACGAAGCGAAAGGGTTAACTCACCAGTTTGTTAGTTTGTTACTCAATGTTCTCGTCTGCTTCCAATTGGATTATTCGCACGCTACAGCGTGCCTGTGTGATGTTACTATAGTCTGTCCATTTCGGAGCGTCACGCGTCAGATTTCTACTTCAAACGGGGGTCAAAATGGGACCCGTGTCTCGGATTGATCGCCGGCGAGGAGCACGGAAATACTGGCGCATAATCAATTTCCAAAAGTGATCTTTACGATGACGAACCTTTCGGGGGTGCCTGTAGTTCAAAGCTGGTGCAGATCTAGACAAGCACGCGCTATCAAATGTTAATGGGTACAGAATGTACTCAAAGTCGGATTTAACTCCAGATCATAACCCTGGCTCTGATACCACACATTATAAATCATTATTTAGAATCATGGGCTCTCAGGGGATTGCTTCTCAACTCTGCCTCAAGCCTCTCTACAATAAAAATCACTTTCTGCTAAAGTACGCCACTTTTTAAAAGGTAGCAGGCAGAATAGCATTGTAAAATGCATTAGAATTATAGGATGCATGCTTTCTGTAGGTCCTTCAGCATGCAATGTGCTTTGAGTGAACGTCTGTTCTCCAGTGGGAATAGTGTTCTGGTCTGCAGTGTTGTAATAAGGCAAGGCAATATTGCCTTTCATCCTGAATTTGAGCAATTAGAACAGTAAAGCATTTAGAACGTGACCTTCCCAAAGTATTTGTGCCTACAGACTAAAGAAAATGCAATTTGTACATACATGCACAGTTTGCCCTTTATTGTCGTGTCAAAATAGACCAGCGTGACAGCACAAAATGAAGGACTAAATGTTAAGTCGCTTGCGTGTGCACTTTATTGTATGTTGATTTCCAGTAAAAGTTGCCGGTTTATGTAATATTCCTTGAATTAAGAGAGGAGAATTGTCTGCCTAATGCCAACTGGATTTCCAAGCAGAATTATAATTATGGAGGCTCTGTGTCCTCTATCCGTGCTATAAAAGCAGTCAAAAAATGAAAAGCTCACTGTGCATGTAATGACAAAAATGCTCTTATGTGATATCTCACATTACCTTATTAAATTTGTAAATCTAAAGATTGGATGAATGTCATGGAGTAACAGACAGAAATCAGCTCCATAATAGGAGTATATTCCCAAAACCTCCCTGAAAAGCTCGTATTAACCTCAGTGCTTTTTGAGGCAAACTTTTGGCTTAACGGCGGAGTGTCGGCCATACAAGTGTTTCAGCTGTTCCAGCGCGGTTTTTATGGAGGAGCATGGCATTCGCCGAGACCTGGCACTTGAGTCGGTACAATTCATGGTGCTCCGCCATCTTTCTTTTTTGTGACTAATGAGTGTGTCGCACCGGTGATCAAACTCAGCACATCGCATAAATGATTATTTCTCTCTTATTTGCAGGCTTACAAAGTACTTTCTTTCATGTGCGAATTTCTAAATCTTTTCCATGCTTTTAATGGGAGATTTTGTGTCGCAAGACTGGCAAAGTAATTCTGAAAACGCAAAAAGCGCCTTTTGTAAAATTCTGGGGTGCTCTGTTCATGAAAAAAAAAGAAGAAAATCTGCCATGATTACAGAGCGGAAAAAGGGACGGATCCTCATTTGTTTCCAATTTGTATATTGGCATAAACAAATAGCACAGTCAAATAAAATATTTGGAGTTTTGTCTCTTTTGGGTTGGAGGGCTACAAAAAATGCCCCCGAAGTGTGTGTGTGTGTTTTTTTTTTTTTTTGGTGAAGAATAGAGGATTTAGTCCCCTCTGTGTGTTGTGGGCAAGGAAAGGGAAAGGAGAGGGGTTGCTATGGCAATGTTAACACATGAGTGGCAGCGCAGACTGGCCTCCCAAGAGTCTGTGCAGCAGTCATTGAGGTAAGGGGGGCAAAGCGGGCACTTCTGATGGCACCCAGCTTTCTGTAGTACTCACATAAGGTTCATTGACTGGGTTTAAACATCAACACGGGCAGCCCAGAAATAGCTGATGGTACATATGCCTGTCTTGGTGGCATTTTGCTAATGAGTCACATCCTATAATGAAGGTGAACTGTAGGATGCCTCAGTGGCGCTTCGGTCTCTACATAATTAATGTGGACGTGTTTGACGCTGTCACTGATATAGCTCGCAAACAGCATCATTCAATGATGGCATTTAGTCACATGCCCATCTTACGTACTGGCACACACATTCAGGAAATATTTCAATGGCATACAAGCATTTAGGGCACTGCATATGGCTTCCGGCTTAGTGTCATATTTCCATTGTGTAAAATGAAGAAAAATGGTCACGACAACCTCTTATGCTGACCTCCTTTTTTTCTTGTACTTATAGAAATATAATTATTACAGCATGTGTGCACTGACCTTTGTTATGGATTCTTGGCGTTAAACAAAAGTCTCATTCACGCAGCACTTATGAATGATGGTCATGTTTAAATCGGCCGATATCCTTACAAGCTTATTCAGCTCAGCCTCATGTAATAAAGCAGATCCAGTCTGAGAAATAACAGAGGACGTCATGATCGTGTCTGGGAGCACTGTGTATTTTGGGTCATCATTTCAGGGTTTTTTTCCCTTAATGGTTTCCTCCTTTATTTAAAAGACAGCTGGAACCAGTGGAAAAAAATATATAGCCTACACATGGACACCACATTGTTTTTATCCAAAATGTATTTATAGTCTAATAAAAGGGAAGCTCACAAAAATTAAGAGAAGTCTGAGAGATTTAATCAGTACACATTACCCGCTCAAATCTTTATTTGTGCCATTTTTTTCATTGAGTTTGAAGAGGGATGTTAGGATATACACACAGCAATGACTTCACTACACATGGTGGACACTCAGATTAACAGTCAATACAAGATATTTACATAATTGTTAAAGCGGAACAGGAGGAAAAATGTGAACCGCAGATGAACTTTATCCTAAAATGCTCCTGCACTGCCTGAAGTGTAGCGTGTGGAGGAGTGCACCAAAAAAGAAAAGGATTTAAGGGGGTGGGGGAGTTTGTGTGTGTGTGTGTGTGTGAGCATATGATCAAATAAAAGAGAAGTGGGTGTAATATGGCATGTAGGACTACAAACATACTCGCAGCTTCAAAAAATGTGACTGTTCATAACATTCTGTTTATTTTAGACCCCTTATCATGAAAAAAAATTCCTGAGCGCATTTTGTTGCTGCGCAGAAAAATAGAGATTTTATTTCAGCGGCCTTATGAAAGAATCTCATGCTGAGAATCTATTGATATCTTTGCAGGATTATTCAGCATGGTCCCATGTAATAAAGGACGTCCAGTCTGGGATACTTCGGCCTTTAATCAGTAATGAGAGAGGATCTTTTTATTATGTAAGGACCGTATTGTCAGCCCTTTGACCTCACACTGCATTTAATACCGTGCATCACTATCTGAAATGTTCAAGCAGAGACAGCCATATTAAATGTGTAACAGGTAACATGATGTAATATTTTAGTTTCTAACTGCTCAAATGTAGGTCAGTGTTGTTGTGCTAATTTTCAACCAAATCTACTGCATGCCTTGACTCCACAGGTTGCTGGGATAAAAAGGCCTCCGGTTTCTCCACTAAAGCTACGAAAGTACTGAGACGCACAGTAGCAGGATAGACTTTTGTGTGAGACTGGTTCACCTCAGTGCTGAAACACGAGGCCTCTCTTTCTGAGTTCCCTTTTCAATAGCTAACTGTCTGGAAACCTCTTGTCCTGTGTCTAATCGCACGTCTCGGTTGCCAGATAAAGCATCCCATTCTTTGACGAGTGACCTGTTTTTTATATAACATTTTTGAACCATCTCCTGCTTGTCCGGTGCTAATCAGGCTAGTGGTTCAAAGCTTGGGTGGTGGAGTCATCTAGATATTAGTGTGTCTGTTGTGGTTAACTAACATTTTATGGTTTATATTAGAAGAATCTGGGAAGCAGATTTTTGTTACCATCTGAGACCATGGTAGGTGCCCTCATTCGTTCAGACGAACTCTACAAGATTTTAACTCTATAACTATAACAAAAATAAAACTCATGTATGTAAGATATGCTGCACACATTTTAATAACAAAGATAGCTTTTTTCTATTCTGGCCAATGTTTTTATACACACATTTATGAGCAATGGTAATATTATTAAGCAACTTTTTGTATAGTTTCTCTTCAGAGACATCTGGTGCATTTTCAATAATCCTGATTCATGTCAGGGGTTAACATCCATTGATGAAATCTGAGTATCATGGACTCGTAAGCAGGCTGAACATACAGTAAATGCCCACGTCTGGATGCAGGGAACCAGGATTAGAGCATAAGATGCTGGTGACCTAGTTTTATTTTTATTTATTTATTTTTTCTGGCAGGAAGGCAGCCGTCATGAGAAATAAAAGAGTCAGTTGCAAAAGAGTACGTCATGGCCATGTCTGAGAGCACGGTGTATTTTAGGCAGTGTTTTTGCTTGAGAATGGTTTTATCCCCCTTTTTTTTTAAGACAGCTGGCGATATTGAAAAAAATATATTTACACATGGACACCACATTGTTTTTATCCAAAATGTATTTGTAGTCTGATGAAAGAGAAGGTCAAGGAAATTCAGAGCTAAACACCAAACAGAAGTCTTGGGTGGTTTAATTAGAATCTTTTGCAGATGCATAATGCATAGAAAAACAAGTATTATATCACTAGATTTATTCACCAGCTAGTATTTAGCTTAAGTATTGAAACTGCTCAGACAAGATGAACTAATTTATGTGCTATGCTGTCAGCTTTTAAGATGGAGACAACACATTCTTTCACAAATCTTTTGCTAGCGCCATTATTTTTGTATAGGTTTACACGCATTTTGTTTATTCTTATATGTTTCAGATATATAAAGTCGTACGTCTACATATGGTAGATATAAAAAACATTACAATGGTATTTACATATTTTTAAAAACAGAACAGGCAGAAAAATGTGAACCACATATGAACTTTATCCTGAAATGATCCCTTACTGTCTAAAGTGTAGTGTGTGGAGAAGTACCACAAAAAGAAAAAGATTTCGAAGGTGTGTGTGTGTGTGTGTGTGTGTGAACACATGTAGAAATCACAGAGAACTGGGTTTGATGTGCTATGTAGGAATACAAACAATCACATTTTTGGAAACAAAAATTTTTGGAGTATATTTATAACAAGAAACAGAAAGCGTCTTGCTATCTGTTTATTTTAGGTCCCTTATAATGAAAACAACTTACAAGCACATTTTGTTCATTTTAGCTGCTCATAAAAAATTGAGATTTTATTTCAGCGCATCAGTACCACTAATGTTTCTGCTCGTAATAGTGAACTGTGTTTAGCTCTACTAGGAAAAGGTAAACAGAGTTTTAACTTCATGTTAGTTATTTGAATATAATAAGCATTTAACAGTGGTTGGTCAGACCATTTCAATAAGCTGTCTCACTTTTAGGACATTTTTTATGCATATCCCATGCTGACATTAATTTCTATTTTGTATCAAAGTGTTTTATATCAAAATGTCATGTTTTCTCTCCTTAGGTTCACAGGGAGTCGTTACTTCACTCCCTTTTATAATGGGAAGTCCTGATAGCTGAAAATGTCACCAATTTCTGGTTCATCACGGCTGGCTGATGACACCTCAACTCCATACAATTCCAGTATTCGTTTCTAACTCTTCACTCATCTGTACAATCCTACACTATGGCGAGCAAGAGGAAATCCACCGTTCCCTGTATGATTCCATCAAAAAGCAAGCACATGCGGGAGGACATCATACTAGGATGCTTACCTGAGCTCCTGCCCACAATACCCGAAGACAGCATCCTCAGTATCTCTTCAAAAGATGAGGAAACACAACGATTCCATGATTTCTCGAAAGCCGAACCGAAGACTTCATGCTGGGAAAGAGGAACATACAGCTGCCCTCTGTGCTGCTTTGAGTCCGGAGACTTGAACCTGTTTCTTCACCATATGGACAACTGTCACATGGACTTTCATGCTCAACCAAACTTCTACTGCCTGTCTTGCAAGGTCTCAGCTGTGAAGTTTGAAGGTCTCGCTTTACATAATGCAAAATCACATCCTGAACTCCATTCAGTGCACAAGAGAGTATCCTTGCAGGTTACCAAACGAGATGGGGCTATCACAGTGGAGCAAACCCTGTTTACAGAAGCAGATTTAAGTGAATCCGGAATATCCATTACCAAGACACCCATAATGAAAATGACCAAAGGGGGGCACAAAAAAATTGTTGTCTCCCATACAGTTGAGGTACAACGGGCTGAGCCTAGCATCGACAAGCCCGCAACTGTAACCAATGGCACTTCAGTAAGGACCTTACCCCTAACAACATCACATATCATTGGTGGCATTATTGCCTCTCCGGTTCATAAAATCCCCAACGCACTTGGTATACCAGGGATGCATAACCGTGGTCCTCTGTGGAACTCTAATCCGTCATCGCCTGATTCAAATGCTGATCTCCCAAAGGTCATGATCCCTCTAAGTAGCATCCCCACCTATGATCCAGCCATGGATTTAAGCAGTTTTCTTAAGACATCTTTTGGTAAGTTCCCTTACCCTACCAAAGCAGAGCTCTGTTACTTGACGGTGGTCTCTGGCTTCCCAGAGGAGCAGATCAAGCTCTGGTTCACGGCCCAAAGGCTGAAGCAAGGGATCAGCTGGTCTCCTGAGGAGATTGAGGACACACGTAGAAAGATGTTCAACACTGTATTCCAAGCCCCACCGAAAACATCACGGAATCAGTCGCATCACCCCTTTTCCCAACACTGTGTTTCTGTCCAGTCCGCCTCTTTGATTTCTAACTCTACACAACAAATACCAAAGGGAAGTGTAATGGGTTGGAAAGGAGGGGTCATAGTCAGCCAGTCTAGTGTGACCAAGGCCACATCCCTTAAGCAGCAGCAGCAGCCAGTGGTCCAGACGCCACAGGTAAATATCCATCATGCTGTCATTACTAAGGAAACTGGAAAAGAATTATCTTGTCGGACAGCTGAGAACTGCAAAATTGCAGGCAGAGGAGGTAGCGTTAGCAATCATGGACACACTGGAAAAGGCTGCAGCTCGTCCATTAAGACTAGCGTTAGCTTCTTGCCTGGCGTTCCCAAGAGTCAAAACAGCAGTTACATTGAGGGCAGCATTATGACTCTGACGAACATAGTCAGGAAAATTGACTGTCATGTCAATGACAGGAACGCAAATTGCACCAGCAAATCTAACATCAGTCCAACTTCCATTCATGGGCAACAGAAAGCATCCAGTAATGCAAAAGAAAACAGCAACAGCAGCTTTGCCACCACCAGCAAATATAACAACGGAAGCACTTATAAAAGCACCAGCCACAGTACTATTTGCACTAAAAGCGAGGGAAACATCTTAGACCACACCAGCAAAAGCAACACTGACACTAGTGTCATTTGTAGCAGCAGCAGCAACATACAAACTGAAAAGTTTATACCACCCCTTACCCATAGCCTGTTCCCACAGCCTGGAAGTCTCATGGATCCATCCCTTGGAAAGGGCAAGGTATTACCTGAGCAACCAGTGACTTTGAAGCAAAGCTTTATCCATAACTCATTCCCAGAACAAAAGCAGTTTCTTGCACCCCAAGGTCAACCATACCACATACGTACTTTGACAGACTCCCAGTCTGCTGTGGGGGTATCGTTTAGTAACTTGCCCCAGAGCTCCCTTCAATCTAACCCTGCAGCAAGTTCATGTCTTCAGGAGGAAACGAGTCAACACTCCTCTCCATCCCTTTCTGCTCCTCAAGAGCAACATTCTCCAAAAACCCTGCTGGGAGCACCTCAGGTCCAGTCCACAGGCTCTACTGCCGTCCACTACAAGGAACATGACCCCAAGCACTTACTTGCCTTAGACAAAGACTCTAAGCAATCAAATTTTGATAAAGAAAGGTTGCACAGAAACATAACGCAAAAAGAAAATGAAGGAAGCGTTTCTGAACACCACAGCGGAATTACAAATACATTTTACAAGGCTGACAGGAACGAGCATAGCAACCTAATTAACACACTAGATACTTTCACAAACAATAACACTAACAAGGCTAAACAAGGCATGCCACTCTTACAACAATATATACAGAAAGTGGACCAATGGGAAAGCAACAGTGACTATCATGAAGAGTCGAATGTGAGCCCTATGAAGATAAACGTAATAGCGTTGAACAAAGAAGAGAGTTTGTACAAGACCAACAGCAAGCAGCAAATCAGTAAGTCATTGGAGAACTTGATCAATGATGGTGGTCCTAGCCATAAAAACAAATCTTCAGAATGGCTCGAAAGCTACCGGCATGTACCGGTGGAGGCTGAGGAGCGTATATCTGATATAGGTAACACTGAACCACATCAACCAGATAACCTTGTGGGGCTTGAAACAGAGCAAGTAAAACATGACCTACACCCGGAGCGGAAAAGTATTTTTCAGAGTCTAGACTCTGAAACTCCTACGCTGCCGATAAAGAACAAATCCAAAGTGGCTACAGTGGATTTAGACAAATCAACTACAGGAGAACAAGACTACTGGGAGATAAAAGATGAGGAGCATCAGCAACCAATGGGCAACCAGAGTTTGAGGGGGCATCAAGCGCAAGACAGTCAATCAAGGTAATGGCTGCAGACCATTGATGGACCATTGATCAGTTAATTTGAGAAAAATAAAAAAGCTAATTTTGAGTGTCTTCCCAAGAGACACATTGTAGTGTTTCTAGCAACTGACTTGTTGAGACTGACTGAGTCTTCAACTGCTGTCTACTACTCTTGGATTGTCACATCACATAACAGTGTTTAAGGTAATCAAAGTAGCACAAATTTTAAAATTAGTTTAATTGGGAAACGTGAATTTAATTATGTGCATATTAACAACATTTGGCTTTTGATCAACTTATTTTTGATACAGTATTTTGAATTAGTCACTAGCACACGCACATGATTATGTGCTTTATTTAAAAGGCTATTTTTGGGGTAAGTGAATGCAGAGCAAATGAATTATAGATTTACTCAAAGTGTGTCTTAACGTGAATAAATGATGAAAATTGTGTGTAGCAAAGTGCTAGACTCTCGGATCTCTTGTGAAGTTCATGGTGTGATGCTGTTCGTTGTGTTTGGTCTGGTCTTACACATCTTTTTCTCCACTACAGGGACTGTCTGAGAGGAGAGCTTCTGAAAGTTTAAGGACTTCACTCTGCAAGACGAAGAGGCAGAGGATCCCGTACTCATTCTGAACATTACGTTTGTTGTTTTCTTTAAATATGACAGCTGATGAGATTGTAACATTTGTGATGGTCAGTGGACATGAGTTTTCGGAAAACGGCCCAATCCAGAGAGTAGCCGCTACAAATGTAGGTCTGATTTGATTTAGGTAAATTCTGTGTAGGAAACTATGATGTATATGCTTGAAACTGCACTATCGAGGGTGTACTGGACATTAGGAATGTCAGTTAGATATTGTGATACTTTGTAACATGTCAGATAATCAGCACTTCTGCAATGCCTTGGGTTTTACATTATTTGTTGGGATATTCCAACCAGTTTTCCCTTCTTCATGTCCAGATCAAATAAGTTCTCCATGGTTTATTTTTTCACACAACATTGAGCAGTTAGCGACAAATCATGCACTATAACTCGCTTTAGTGGTGTCTGTCTGCACACACAACAAATTGGCCAGACATTGCCTTAAACGTCACCTTTCTATTTCTATGACTGGCTGCACAAACAAGCAACTGTGTTGATGTGTGTATAAATTGGGGATTTGAAATCCCAACAGAACTGCTGCTATATCTTCGGAGGTGTTTTTTTAATAAGCATTAACAAGATTATTATATGTGAAAAGCTTAAAAAAAAAAAAAAAGAAATGTTAATTTATGGTGGAGAAGGTTTAAAACGGTGTGCTTACAGTCTGAGGGGTATTAAAGTTCTCTCAGACAGTCAGATCAAGTGCTCTGCTAACTGGATATTCCCTGTGTTTGAGTTGGGCTGCGATATATAAATATATATAGTATATATATATATATATATACACACATTATGCATCATTTATATGCTGCTAAGTTCAGACCATCCAAAGTGAAAAACAGGTGCTTTTCATCTCTTATTATTTGCATTTGTATCCAATGTGGTTTCTCTTTTAAAAATTAACACATAAAGATACCATCTGGACATACAGTATTACCGTCCCATCAGTTCCCATTGTGCAGGTCTGTCTAAAAGAACACAGTGCACTGGAGTGTTATCCTTTCTACACATTACAAATCTTTTGGTAATAAATGGAGAATGTCAAATTTAAGAACTAGCGTCTTGAATGCATTTCATGCCATTGAAAGATATTCACAATGACTTGGCAAAGATCAATTCTAAAGAAACATCCAACATAGTGAAACAGATGCACATTTGCTTGGATTTATTTTAATTGCAGATTTTTTGGGCTAAAATGAAGCACATGCAAATGGTCAACACACTGTCACTTAAAGAGGAAGCAGAAGAAAACCATCTCGAGGGAATAAATGATTAGAATACTTTCCTGTGAGCGAGAGTCACAGAGAGGTCCCGGGTGCACTTTTCAAAAGGAATGAAATCTTGCCCAAGACTACAGCTTGGCTAATACATCATACAGGCCGTTCGTTCTTCCAAGACAAACAGGCAGGGTCTTTTTACGCTCCCCCTCAGAGTTCTTCCTGAGGCCTGTTCTCAAAGTAAGACTTGGTGCTCATTTCACACGGTTCTGGGAACACAGGAAGTTCTTTTACCCATTATTCTAAGTAGAATACATCTTAAAGCATGTTTTTGCAAAAGCTCGCCCTTTATGGCACGTGGAAGATGAAACGCGATATTTGGATCTTAGACGTGAGATTTTAAAAACTCAAACCAAATGAGAGCTCGATTAAAAACAATGTACAGGATAAGTTGTAGGGTTTTATTTTTAAATAGCCTACAATTGAGCAAAAGAAAAAAACGAAGAAAAAAAAAATAACATCAGAGGTTATGGCATGAGCTTGATAAATTGGAAAAGGTTACGTGGCTGTCACTAACATTTTTTTCCAGACTGGAGTGGAAAAACAAAATGAAGATTGTTAAAATTCATGTTAAAACAAGCCTATCCTTAAATCTAGATACAAAAAAAAAATACTTGTTTTTTTTGTTTTTGGCAATGTTGATTTCCCTCACATACCCTTCAGAAATAAAACCCATTTCGCCATACCCTGAAATAATACATCCTAATAATGATATTTTCAAGTAAGGAGTTTCTTTTTTATTTTATTTTATGGAAACGGTCATTACACATTATGTTAAATCCAGATGGAGACTCAAAGCCATAAAGACACAATCTGTAGGATAC